GATTTTTCATTCTAACTGAGAGAGGAGTAATAACTTTTGATCCGCCTCAGCGCCTTTCTGATTGTAGGTTTTTCGATCGTCAATATTCGGGTGGTATATTGTGGTTGTTCCTACATTCGTCATTCGTGTCCCTGAAACGCCGATATTTAATGAAACAGAAGTGTCATCATGATTAGATAGGCCTTTCTGTTCATTTAATAGTGCAATTAATTTTTTTCCAAGATCGCATGAGCGAGAGGATCTGCTTCAGGGATGACTTTCCATGTGTCTTTAAGGTGTATGAAGGTAATAATAATATACATGTCTTTCCTTCCTCCTTCCTTCGTTTGCACATTTTTTGGGCTCCTTCTTGGTGTAGAAGACACAGTACACGTCACAATAGAAAACCGCCTCATTAACCTATCATTATCATTGTTTCACTTGTTTCTTTGCCGATTTGTTCATATTGTTTTACGTCAACTATGTCTTCTACACCGAGTAAGAGCCCGTCTTGGTCAGTTTCTAGTATCTGTCAGTGGTGTTGCCTGTCTACCTACATTTTGGCAGTCCATCCTTATAACAATCAAAGACTATCGTTACAGCTTTGTAATGATAGAAATATACTGAATCGAAACCTTGCGATCACAAATCGAGAAAAATCAGCCGATTTAAGGCAGCAGAAAACTCAGCCATGAGTATTCTACAGTTTACATGCTGCATAATGCAAAGCGTAATAGCTTTGAGATGAGATTGTCAGAAACTACCAATCAGAGCCGATATTCTGTATGACAGATATGACGTAACTGGAACTGATTTCTTTATCCTATGCTCTATATGCAAAAGACTTGGTCAGCGGTAACCAGTGTGAATGCCCCCTCGCTTGTGAAGTGGTCAAATACGAGACAAAAACATCTGCTGCAGCCTTCCCAAGCCCACTGCTGATCAAACACTGGAAAATGCAGGGAGTTAATAAGACTGATGACTACCTCAGGTACGTCGATTGTAAACTGCTGAAGAGGACGCGACAGTAGCCGATAGCAGTTAACAATGCAAAAAGCTAATACTTTCATGATCTCATCCCTTGGACACGGGGGAGGGAACTCATGATATTGTTGTGAGATATTGAGGGATGCGTAACTTTTGGTTTATAATTAAATTTTAATCAAGACACTACATAATAATTAAAATTGATTCCTGTATAGCACCTTGGGATCTAAATCTTCTCCTGTTTGTTGGATTTGCAGGTGGCATGTTCTCCCATCATAAAAAGATTCCATAAATGATTTCATTTTATTATATCTTACAGAAAAATACATAAAACTTTTCATCAATTCTTGCAAGAGCCCTCGTCATAAAATAAGCGGCAGAGAGGAAAAAAAATCAGGGAGGAATTCTCCACTCGACCTCCTGGTTAGGGCCTACTCTCGGCTCTAATCTCTAATAATGTTGATGGTGACAACAATTAATTCATTGATCTATGTGAATATTCATCTTTGCAGAAAGAATCTGATAATGCTTCAAGTTGGCTACACCTCCTTAAGTTATGAACACTTTAAGCAAACGTCTCAGTATGACAGTACTGCACTCATGGGTATGTTGAATGATTACAGATCTTTTACCGATGTTTTATAAAAAAAAAATAAAAAAATAAGATGAAATAAATGAGGCTCGCTCACTCTACTTTACTTCGTCTTCCTTGGTGTGGTTCGCTTGAAGTTCTGAGAGATTTATGCAGTGTCTAATTGGTCAGCCGCACCTTACAGCTGTTTCACCATCCCATACATACGTACAAGCTAGGGTGATGTTGGCTTACGTTTTTCTTAGACCGGCCAATTGCTATTTTTGTCTCTAAGTTTTCAAGAATACTACGCTTTAGCGCTTATGCATTCCTGATTTAAGAGCTCGACTATCATTTTCAAAATTAATTACTATTACTAAGATTTAATTGCTAATAACCGCTTCACACACACACACACACTTTTATTTTTTATGTGATTGGTTTATTTAACTGTCCGATAACGAACTGTCCGATAAAAACTTGGTTAGTGAATCAGTGGAAAATAGGAGTTTTTTTAAACCAATCACAATCGAGGAAATCGATTTTTTATGATTACAGTAGAAATCGGTTAACGATGTGTTTACTGTACGGTTTTGTTTCCTATAGGAGAAATTGGTGGTACCCTTGGATTATTTCTCGGCTGCAGTGTTCTAACTGTCATTGAATTTATTGACTTCACCATCTACTTGTGCTACATTCGAAAGAAGAAGACCTCCTGATATCCAAGCTGTACTCTGTTAATTAAGCACTTAACTGATGTTGGAAGGTGAACCCCAAAGGTTATTTACCGAATGAGTCACCATCCGTTTAGTTTTGTAATACTACAAGCTGTGATATTTCAATTTGATAAGCCTCGTTTGATAAAGTGAACTTATTAAAATGAAAAAGCTTCCATAGGTCGCTCACTTTTTTAGAGCACGTGCAGAAACTTTCACCGTCGACAAAACTTTATTCAAGGAAGGATTTTCCAAGATGGTTGATGCATGCAGACTTCTGTGGGAGGATAGAACTGACCAAGAGATTTCAAACAGTCTATAATCTCTTAATGTGACACACATCCCTAAAAAAAGAAACAAACAAACAAATCGTAACAAAAAGCGTCAAAGTTTTTCCTCCCTTACTCAAATTTAAATTCACAGTTTATCGGCTTAATTGACGGCTGGCTAAACAAAAGCCTAAAAGTTTACTCAGTAAACAGTGATTTAAAATATCGTGGTTTAATTTTAAAAAAAAGTCCTCTGAACTTCAGTTATCAAAATGTTCTCAGCACAGTTAACGAATGGCAACTATTCAGACAAGAAGGCACACCGAAGTGTGTTCAGATAACTATGCTCCAAGTGTATCTGAGTGCAAAATTAAGAATGTTATCTGGTATTTAGGAGGGTCTCAAAGGCGCGATGGCTCTAACGGCTAACGGTTAATATCATTCCATTGTTGTTACCATAATTTTTTTCACCTTTAACATTTTTAACGATCATCGGTTAAAGTGTGTCACTTTTTTACGCCTAACGGCTAAGGCTTTGGGCAGTTTTACGGCTAACGGTTAACCCCGTTGAGAATCTCCACAAGTATTTGATAAAAAAAGGACCAAATTGAAAAGGTAGTGATCATTGTTTTGAAATTGCCCTTTGTTCCACGTCTGTCAGATTAGCACGTAGCCGGTTGTTTTAGTCGTGATGGTAATAACTGAGAATGTTCATTTCCCGACAAAATTGACAAAATTCGGCACGTTCTTCTAAAAACCCATAAGAAAGTCAAGAAAATCCCAAGGCTGCACACTCCATTTCGAACGCCCGATCGGAGTAGCGAAAACTCCAAGCTCAAAATGAGCGGATGGCCACAGATCCAACGCAGAATCCAAGCACACATACTGTAGTTTCATTTCAATTCACTACAATCTCAATCTTCCCCGTGATGTCGACGCTAAGCCGCAGTTTGCTTGAAAAATTTCCAGTTTACAGTTTAGACGTTTCCAACGGCCCGCGTTCACATTCAACTTGATACACGACCGTTGAAAATCAGCTTTGTAACCCTGCCTCCTTTTTAAACTGAGCCTCGCTGAGGACCGCCCCGTCACTCGGCATGAACAAATTCTGTTAGAACCACGGGTGCCAAGTTACGGTGTGGATCCCGGTGAGGCTTAGTTTGGAGCTGTGCAGCCTTGGGCTTTTCCTATGTACGTAGCAAACCTCCAAATAGATAACTCGCTGAAATGGGTTCCCTTCAACGTAGTAAGCGGCTAGATAACAAGCAATGCACTGTGAAGTAAGGTGAGGTATTTTTTATGAGAATTTGACCTCTATTTTTATTCCTTAGAGCGGTCGTAAATATTCCCATACGAACTCTTATAACTTCGCCACGACAGTTTTTTCGTAATGCACTTATCAGCGGCCATCCCGGGGGGCTGACCACGGGGACAGATGGGGGAATAGCGCGGGATCTGCTGACTTTTGTCACCAATTTTTGGCCCGGGACGGGGGCATTGGATACACGGGGAAAGACCCGCGGGATTTGTAACATCGCAGATTTTAACTTTGAGCCCTGTATAGCCCTGTGTAGTAAACACAGGCCGAGGTAAGTATATGTTAGTTTAAATTGTCATTCTATGACTTACAAGGTATAAAGCTGAACCTCGCTGTGTGCAGAAAACAGGTGGACCAGCTATTTTTGTTTACTGTATATATTATTGTTAAACTTTTACTAAAAATTATGCAGGAAATTACGTTACAATTTGGGAGTCCTTCCAAATTATGCTCCCCTGGGGAGGGAGAGTAATGGCTTTTTGGGGAAGAATATTGGCCCTGGGTAGGTGGAATTTGCAAATGTCTTGGTGCAAATGCCCCGGGGTTCCTCAGGGTCAACCCCTCGGGATGGCCGTTGATAAGTGCATAAGACGATCATCTCACAGCCGGAGCTTGGACCGCCTGTGTGTGAAATAGCTGTCGTCAGCGTTGCCATAACCAGTCTTAACTCATGATCAAGATTTCGCATGGTTCTCTTTGACAAAATCGTTATTTTTCTCGCCCAGGGGAGACGTTATCAGAAATGATGAATTTATAAATACGATTTAGTTTATTCTTGACTTGATATGCGTTCTGAATTTTATTGATTTCTGAACCGGAACGGTTCACAGGAGAATTTTGCGTTGCGTGACAATAACAGAACAACAAAAACAATACGAGTAGGAAATTGTGGTACTTGGACTTCTACAAGAAAAGACGCATAAAGTTAAATAAACAGCTTATTGGGCCATAGCGATCTGACATGGAAATTTAGTTATTCTAAATTGAGTCTGTGAACATAGGTCGTTGTCTACTGATCAAATGACAATCTATTTAATCAATCAGTCTATTGTTATGAAACTCACGTGCTGAGCGCATGACAGCCTCATCTGCAATTTCTGATTCAGCTCTCCTATATTAGACAATAGTCTTGTATGTTGTTATTTCGCCCGAGCTCGTAATATTCGACCAAATGCTGTTGAAAACGTCGTCAATGTTTTCCCTGCGTACTTATTAGTTTGTTAGTGCAAAACGTTGGATAAGTATTTAGAAATGCAGACAGCGTCGAGAAGGTGAAATTTTCCTGAACAAAATGGCGATGTGTTCGTTCAAGATGTAGGAAATATTTTGCTTTAGGGTAAGTCAATAGTTTTCATTTGGTATTTCCATAATTAGCGATTCAAAATGAACCAGATCGTGGGAAACGTTTGAGAATTTCTTCGGCGAAATGGTTACGGTGGTATCGAACAAATAGCGCGTGTTGACCTATTTTCCTTTTAACACCTGAAGAAATGATGTTTGAACGTCAAAAGCACGAGGGAAATGTGATTACGGAGGGCTTAAGATTTCTTCAATGGTTTCCTAAACTTCAGGGCAGCGCTCTTATATCATTAACTCCGACGCTAACTTCCTCTGTTATTTGGTATTAGGTTATTTGTGGTAATATGTAGTCTAAATCTTCCAAAGCTTTTCAGTTTCTTTGCGGTTGAATAGCTTTCCTTCTTGAACTTCTGTGGTATCAGTTCGTGTTGTTTATATTATCTTCTCGAGCGGGCATAGTCATGAGAGCGTTGATGATTTTTCAAAATGAACTTGCCAGGTTTAAATCTACAAGGGAAGGGATTATCCACTAGAAATTCTTGAGTCTTTCGTTTTAACGAATAAAAATTTAAACAGGTTGAGTTATTGTTTATGTGATGTTAATCAAGCCGTGACTGAAAGCTGTCGCTATTACGTGAACTTAATTGCTCTTGCATTGTTTAGTCTGTAACCAAGCGCCTGGTGACAGTTTTTTTGCAGACGTTTAGATACTGGTTATGATTTGTGTGAACAGAGGCATTTTAATCATGTTTACGTCGAATTTTCTCACGACGTAGGCGAAATGTCAAGGAATAGAAAAAGAAAACACTAAGCTTCAGTTTTCATGCGAAAACAAGAATAAATTTATATTTATTCTGTTTATTCTTGTTCTCTCGTCACTATATTTCGACTCATAGCGAAGCTCCAATTTCTGCATATAAAACCACACACAACCCACAATTCCTCCAATCGCTTTGACGAAGGGCTAACGCTCGAAACGTGGCCATTTACGTTAACAACTCAGTTTTAAATACTTAACTACCCTGTTATTTATTTAGAGCGGCGAGTACCCGGCCACCTCCTCCAGAACACGTGATACACTCAAAGTCTGCACGAGAGCCAGCAGCAAGTCTGGGTGAAATACTCACCTACCAAAGGCAGTCTTTCCTTTTACATTCTATTGCGTTATATACTCTAAAAAAGCCGCGACAGGAAAGTTCTGGAAGTCAGTCATGGCGTACCACAGGTAATTATCTGCTGGCATCAAGAACGATACTAAGCTTTATCTTTTAAATCTATTCTTTTTTTTTTTTCTTCTTCAATTATTTGTTTATTTGCATGTCTACAAGTCTATTCCGTTTATAGAGCAGGTTTAGTAGAGTCTGTCAGGAAACATTCAAAATTTCGATCAATAATGTAACAGGGGGAAATCAAATTGTTATGAACATCTTTTCATGAATTACTTCTTTTCATTAGTCATTCAACTTATTTCATAGTTAACATCATCGAAACATTTTTAATAATAAAAGAAGTTAAGTGATACGAAATTAAAGAGTCATAACTGTCAAGCATTACTTTGCAGTTCCATGTCTTTTGATGCAGAGTTAGAAGACTTACCATTTCCCATATCGCCGGTTTGTATAACTTGTTTTAAATAGTAGATTACACTTTATATCGCGGGTTCCATTTCAGAGGATGGTGAATTTATTTAAAAGACATTCTTTGTTTTTATCTTTAGTCCCTGCTGAGTTCGTCTCTTGTGTCGCCAAATCCCGTGGAAACTGTCAACAATGCTGAGCAATTCATGGTGACTGGAGACTATGGTACAGCTGCAGCGCTTTTTACTTTAGCTCTTCGACACTCAGAAGTTGTCGTTCCTCCTGATTTGAAAAGTGCTATTTTATGCAAAAGAGCTAAATGCCTACTTCGTCTGGTAAGTATCGTCTCCCTATCTCTCAACCATCTTTATGTGACGACCCGTTTTTTTTTTTTAAGGCGCTCGATGAAAATGTAAGCGACTGACGTGCGAAAAAGTTTGGCTTAGTTCTTTCCATTCGACCCATAATTCTCGCGGTTTTGTTTCTCACGACACAGGCTACGTCTAACTAAAAGCTAAGTGTTCATTAGTGATACTTTTTTACCTTTGATCTTCAGAATTACGTTCAGCAAGTTTTGCGGGATTGTTTAGCTGGTAAGAAAATCAGAATATTAATTAATCTTTTCTTTCCAGTTTATTTTGGGAAGAAAGGAAGATGGAATCATATTTTATGTAAGAAATATTTCCCACAAAGTGTGGCAACTTCGCACAGTTAGTTTGATTTTTTTTTCTTTTTCAGCCAGAGAAATCATCGGAGGAGAAAATGAGCACATAGCGTTTTTATGGTCGCACGCACTAGAATTACAAGGCCAAGTGCTGAAAGCTTTTGTGAATTCTGTCATCTACAAGTTTCTCGATCCCGAGGTATTTCTCTCCAGTTTTTTAGACTCGAAGCATTTAAATACATCCCTTAGTCAGTGAATTTTAAATTTTGACTCGTTTATTGTCAGATAGGTTCATATTGAGAATAAAGACTTGCAGGGACGATTAAATTAATGCATCAGATGTTTCTAAAAAATATAACTAGGCTGAAACCGCAATTAGCAGGTGCAGACCGAACTCGGCCACCCGACTGCCCGTAATCAATAAGATAACTGGCTCTCCTACAATCCTGCTTTTCAATTTTAGTTTATCACTTTCTTTGTCCCCCCAACCAACAAACCTGCGTGCACATGCCCTCAATTGCGCTTCCCTTTTTGAAACGTCACCAGATCTCCCCCCCAAGAATGCGTCGGGTTTCTCGTTCTCGGACTGTGCAAAATTAAGATTTCACGGGTTGAATGTCTTGCTTCGCTGCCTTATTTCCACGTCGCCTTGGAGATTTTGTTGAAGTCTTTATAGGTGGTTTTACAGGGCTGCACATGAACTTAGGCTGACTGATTTTAATTAGCAAATAAAGAAGCCTTGACTGTGCTCTGTTCTGAGCACGAAAGAAGTGTAGGAATAAACACGAGACGTGGTCTACTATTTCTCCCCACTTGACAGCTTTAGCTCAGCTCTGTGTTTTGTACTCTGATGGAGCACGCTCTTTCAACCAATAACAGAGCGTGTTGCATCCGAATAATAAATAAATGATGAAAAAAAAAATCCGAATTCTTCATTTTTCTAACAGTGCTTTCCTTGGTTTTTAGATGAAAAGAGATAAGAATATTGTGGACAGGTTAAGAGCAAAAGTAAAATCGTTGTGTGGACAGGTAAAGTATGGTTTATAATAGCTCTTAAAGAATAATGAGACTTATTCTGTAGCAGACGAACACTTTCAGGAGCGAAATTTTTCAGTGAAACGTTCGCTGAAAGGAACTAGTGAGAAAATTTCCAAGCTTAATTTCGGAAGATTGATTACGTACATATTGCGAAGATGTATTTTTAGGGTACATTTGAGTAATTCAGTTATTCGAACATTTTTCCATCACGGAGAGTAATCAAACCGCCTACGTACACACGCAGTTTTACAAACTGGAACTGTGGTCATTTTGAACGGACTCTTCATGTTTTTTTCTATCACTCGTAGACTCTTTCTAACCTAACTTTAATTTTGTGTTTTGAGATTTCCTTCTGACATAATCACACGAGCTCTGACCCAGAATCAAAAGGGAAGAATAATACATTTTTGTCTGAATTCTTTTCAGGGATTTCACCAAGTAAGCAGCACAGTCGATATGCTAATACAACAGGGAAAAATGAAGCTCGCAGATTCTCTGACAGAATTAGCTCTGAGCTTCTTTACAGAAGTCGTGACTCTATTCCCAATGGTCGTGGAGGCTTATGAATTACGAGCTCAGTGCTACTTCAAAGTGGTAAATATATTTTTGTGGCATTTGTTTGTTCACAGGCTGGACTGGGGTTGCAGTTCTTAGGGAATCTAAGGCACCTGGTTGTCTAATATAGAGCTATAACTAGGAGCAAAAATTATGAACATAAAATTCGATGGTCATAACCATAAATTGTCCCCCTCCCAGGTCCTAATATGCTTCTTTTCTTTCATCAGGGAGATTTTTTCCAAGCCAAACGCGACTGTAATCGAGGTATGAAATGTTTCAGCTGTTCTTAAATGAATTCTTCAAGTCATATAATATAATTTTATATCAAACGTCTTCAAGTGTTTGGAAAAAAAAGCAACTAAACTACGATCTTATAATCGTCAACTTTGCCCTATAATTATACCTACATTCTACGTTATTTTTTCCTCAGCTCTTGAATTGACCAATCGCACAAGTACCGTTGCGTTTGATATAGAAATTAGAATGAAAATTCAGTTCGAGGAGTTCGATGATGCCTTGAAACTGGTGAATGAATGGCAAACAATTGATCCTGAGGTACGTTTCACGATGATTTGAACTATTTAATCTAGCGCTCATGAGTGGCCCATTTGAAATTGTGTTAGACATTACAGAATTCCAAGAAGAAATTCATCAAAAAGTAGAACTGAAAAGGAAAGTTCCCAACAATATAGTTAGTAAAGCTTATGCGTTTCTCTTTTTCAAAGAATGTTGAGCTCTCTGCGATCGAATCGGACATCAGGGCTAAGATGGCAACAGTGCAATCTCAGGACATACCGCCATGTCAGTCAGTAAGTAGACGTTGATTATTAATAAACCTGCTTTAGATATGTCCTGACTGCTCATTAAAACCAGACAATAAGTGGTGTGTAATAGTCACTATTTCACAACTCTAATGCACCAATACCACACATGACTGAGAAGTCTTAAAGTTTTAGCGCTTCACCATTGATAGCATATCAGTGTCATGATATAGGAAGTCTCGAGAGTTTTGGTTTGTTATCGCAGCTTTCAAATACTCGGTGACTTTCTATCCCATTTTTGTATCGCTAGGTAACATTCAATTCCCTTAAATGTTTATCAAAAAATTCATAACGACATTCTATCGTACAGCTTTCCAATATGTCGTTACCCGTCCATTAATCAAGGGAAATTGGCAAAATACCACCAATCAAAAGGGTGAAGCCCCTACGGGTGCGTGTTTCCGAACAGCGCAGTGGTTTGGAAGTAGGTAAACGAGAACTCAATGACTAGCGGAAACCTGTAGCAATTAAGGAAAGACATTGGTGTAAATATTGAGACCTTTTCTCAAGTGTAGCAACATTCAGATCCCATTGACCCCTCAATGTCAACAGTCAGATCCCATTGTCATTAAAAAAGTTTTATAATGTAGCAAGGTAGCCCTGAGGTAAATCCGATTGTTCTGATTGGTTCTTACATCGTCCGGGTTTTGCTATACCGTGTATTTTTTGTCGCGAAAGCCAGCAAATTCAATCTACACAAGTTTGGTCAGAGCCCCTTATATGAGACTTCTTGCTAAACTCGCTTGCTCGCGTCGCACTGCCAGGACCTCGGGCCAATATTCTCCATTACGACTCTCACGCTCGATTAATAAGAAGTTATCAAGTAATGGTGTCAAACAATGGCTAGTACTGACGTGTAGCTCTGTCAGGATTGTGGTTTTTCTTAGGGTCAGAATACAGCTAACTAATCGTATAGAATTCAAAGTCAGTTTCATAATACCTCTTCTTAACGATCTTTTTTTCCTTTTCATTCAATAAAATGTATAATTTTTGCTTTATTTTAGGAATACCAACAACAAGCACAGGAAATAGAGGAAAGGAATAAGCAAGAAGACGTTCAGGATGCGAAGGTTATTTTTGCGCTAAACTATTTTGTGTTTCTCATTTTACTTTTTTACGCTGGCTGTAAATAACTCCTTTTCGACACTTGAATCTCACATAAAATAGTAAAGACGATGTACACACTGTAAAAATTTGAACGTATGACTTTTAGCATTTACCGAAAGCTTGGAGCTCCTGTCTTCTCCCTAAAAAAAAATGAAATAAAACAAGGATCTTCTTACCTCTCCTAATGTTTCTTACACACAGGGCAAAGCTGTTAATCAGAGGAAAGAAGAGCAACTTACAACATCTTACGATTCTCCTGGTAAATACGTGGTGAAATGTACTTTTAGGGAGAGTATGCTTTGGTTTATCTTGTCTATGCCTGGCGTGCTTAATTTGACTCACATAGACACTGGCCCAGCTAACAAATAAGAATACAATGAAAATTACAAAAATCCAATACCTATTGAAATACCAATACTTGCGAAAAACCCATTTGTTTCCGTGTTATTATTTTTGTCTTTTTGACCTCTTCTTCATTTTGTATCTGGTACTGTTATTGTCATTGTCGTTGCTGTTTTTGTTGTCGTTTTCGTCGTTACGAGTGGAGATGATAACTAAACTAACCTTCATAGTTGATGTTATTTAATGGGCCTCTGTCATAAATGGCAGGACTATCAGTTATTGGTATTCTTTAATGTGCGTGTATATAAGCCCTCCTAGCCTCGTTAAAATGTCAGTGAAACCCTAACAGAGCTGGCCAACCGATGATTTCATCCCGACTTGAGATACATACCCGACTTACCGTTTTATCCTCTCTACCCTCAGTTCTTCTCAGTTGATACTAACTTCCTTTGCTGTTTTGTTTGGTTACTTTGGGTCAAAGGGTTTGTGGAATTGCGTATAGCAAGGTATTTAGGGTAAAACAGCATCAATAGAATTTAGTGGCTCTCATTTTTTTAACTTCAAGGGGCGCTGAGAGCCGGACACCTCCTTCCATCAGCTGCGCCTGTGAAACGTATGAAGGACCTTTTTTTTTAACTTATTTGTGTAATTAGTTCTCGCTCTCTCACGCACTTTGTTACCAAAGGGTTATAAAGAAAGCTCATATTCTATTTTCTAGGTTCTGCTTTCCCAGAGCGGAAAAAGAGACGAAGAATAAGAAATAAAACAAGAACTTTAAGGGCTGCAAGAGAAGGTAAATCGTTTCCCCTCTCTCCCCCTGTTTCACGCTTGTCTCTCTTCGTATCTCCTTCAGACGCCTCTCTTAAGCTTTTCTCCTAATCGCATTTTGAAGCAACGTGTGTATAGCATTGCTGGTGTGCAGTGCATTCCCTCTCTCGGGCACCATATCCGTTTCTTGATCTCTTCAGTTAAAATTAGTTCTGTTTCAGTTCGGGCCATAACCATTTCTGGATATCGTTTTCGAGCTTTGTGATTGGGTGAGATCAAAACCAAAACAAAGCAAATTTGGCCGAGAGGTGCTGGAAACAAGAAGAAGCTGATTTTTTTTTGTGGTGGCCATGTGGCGGCCATGTTGTAAGTATTTTACGTCATCGCCACCACCATCAGTTCTTTGCTTGTTGGGTTGGGAACAAAGTCGCAAGGACTCGAATAAAGTAATGAATGAGTTTCCTCGAGGTCCCACCGCGACATCCATGTTGGTGACGTCATCAAGTATCCAGAAATGGTTATGACCCGGACTGTGTTTTCATTGTAGCTGACGATTCTGATGCAAGCAGCGTTTGTAGCATTAGTACCTGCCCTGGTGATTTGGGTTATGCAACGAAGGCCACGTGCCGCCCCAAAATGCCCACTTTTGAGGAAAGTGATCAAGGCTTTATCAGCGATGTACCGAAATCATCAACGTCTCCGTCATCGAAAGCGAAAGGGAAATCACCAAATAAAGAAACCAGTGGAATCCGGCCAAGACCACCTGGTATTTATACTGCCTACCGTCTGTGCAAGTACTCTGATCGACCAGAACTCTGTTGGCAAGGCAAGCTTTGTACCTACGCGCATAGTGAAGCTGAAAGAAAGGCTTGGGAAGACGATTTCAAAAAAAGTAAGTACCTTCAATCAATTTTTTTCTCCTTACTAGAGTTTTCCTGGAAAAGTCTTGATAACCAACGATTCATTGGGTAGTTGTTTTGTTGGTTTTTGTTGTCACACTCCCAAATAAATTTAAATCGATGTATTTTTAGGTAAAAGGAAACCAACTGCTAGCAGGAAAAATACTCGAAAGAATAAAGATACTGGGGTCACTTCTACTCCACCAAAGGACTTTCGTAAAGCTGTTGGGAGAGAAGAAATAACTACAAAGACAACTCGAGCAGATGAGCGTCCGGTTGCTGTTTCTGACGAGGTTGTTAATATTATTGTCAGTGCTTGTCATTAGTAAAGTCGAGTCCTAAATGATCTTATCGTGTGCTTACGGGGTGGTAGAATATTTCCAAGAGTCACGCCCACCAACATGCAGTTACGTGCGCCGTCACAAGTTCACAAGTTCCTGGATAGCGTCCTCTTTAGCTCAGCAGTAAGAATTTTTAGAAGTTCAGTCTGTATGGGGTTTCCATTCCTCACCCGAACTCCAAACATTTGGTGGTTACGTTATGCTCATGACAAAGTAGTTCAAAATGCTTTCGATACATTGGAAAATCATATGTTGCTCCTGTTTTCTTTTTTTAGCCTAAAGACTCTCAAGAGACTGCTGCGACGTCTGACGACTGGATTCTGGTGTCACGGGCGGCCAAAAAATCCTCTAAAGGACAGAAGGATAAAGTTCGTCCTGCCCCATTGAATTTTTATGGTACCTATCGCCTCTGCCGTCGCTATCTTGCACGGCAATGGTGTCCTACAGGAGACCACTGCTGTTTTGCACATGGTGAGACCGAAAGAGCTGCATGGGAAGAGGAAAGGAAGAAACGTAGGTCGCTATATAGCCACCATTATTGATTGGACTGACGTTTTTTAACTCTTGTTGAATTAAAATAACTTTTTCAATCTCTAGGAGTCTTAAGTTTTCAGCGACGATTACGAAAATTGACCAACCAATGAAAAAAAAACTGAACTATTCTGTCATAATATTTATAAATGTAAATCAACGTTATTCAGTAGCGCACTTACTGCGTGCAAGCTGGTTCTTCAAAGTCGTTACAGTATTTTCAACTCACGTGTAACTGGAGGCCTTTGTTGTTTTTCAGGATTTCGTAAACCAACTACGTCCAAAAGTAAGAGCCAAACTGCAAAGAAAAAGAGGAACAAAACAAGTGTCAGCTCTGCACTTAAAGAATGGAGAAAAGAGTTCAGAGGACAATGTCGAGCTCCCTTACGAATTCCTACAAAAGGCAAACAGTACCTAATGTGCCCTGAGTAAGTCTTTTACCTACGTTATTTGTATATCATCATCATGAATATATTTGTCAATCCCTTTAAGATAGGAATTAGTCAAACTTTTCTCTTCTTAAATGACTTCAGGTGGAGGAAAGGCTCCTGCAAACTTGACAGAAAATGTACGTTAGCACATGGTGAGAAAGAGCTAACAGCTTGGAATGAGCATTTGAAAAAAATGGAGATGAGAATGGAAAGGAAAAAAGAGGAGGAAACGGAAAAGGCAGAGGAAAAAGGTAAAGAATCAATGACCAGCTCAACGATAAATGATGATAAGCGGCCAGCTCCTACTTACAAGGTTAGTAAAGATTCATTTAACGTGTGTGTTACTTAATGTCGTTCAATGAGAGTTCTAAGGTGGTAATATTATATACGGTGTTGGGCGTCCATGAAAATGCCATGAAAAATTTCTTGCCCAAGCATTCTATATTAAGGTGGCTCGATAGGGTTTCTGACCGCGCAAGATCTGGACCCCAACATGGCGCGAGCCATAAAAATATCGCTAAGCAAAACCATTATGGCGGCCCGATACGACCGCACGATTCATATCAACTATGAAAGAGGTGGGTAAAAAATATATATCCACATTATGGACTCTGAGAATTCCAGCAACGACACAAAGTATTTCTAGCCCTTTTACGCCTGAAAAAGGCCAACACAACACCCGCGGCGCGTTCGGTCGCTTCGAGAAGACCTCAAAAATAAAGAAAACAAGGGGAGAATCGTTCAGTAAAGGCTACAAAATTTGGTTAGCCCAGCGAAAACTGAATCACTAAGACGGCTGCGAGGGAAAGGAACCACCCACAAAACGGGCTCTAAAGTCTACAAAACAGGTTCTAAAGTCTACAAAACGGGCTCGAAAGTTATCTCGGGTAACCAACCTACGATGATCAGGATATTTGCTTTTTTTCCGTCCTCGGAAGACGAAAAGTATTGTTTTGATCAATTTTAAAAGTGGCTCTGATTTCCACCAAAAGACGGCAGCTAAAAATCTACAAGTAACTCGAGTGGTTGGCATAAAAACACTTGCACAGGAATGGTTACTTTGTAAGAGTGCTAAAGATGAGTAATTCTTATTTTTACAACGATAATAAGCGTGACACGTACTCTGAGAATTTTATTTGCCAAAGTGCAGCATTTCGATGATGCTCGCAAGGATTCCTCGAGATGAATCGCTTAAAGGTACGTACCTTATTATCTGGCACGGAGCAACTACCGAATACAGGCCACTGATGTCCAGAGGGCTTGTGTTCGATATCCAAGAATTCATCAAGTCCGAAATAAACATGCCAAATGAATACTTGTTCGTGCTCAATTCGAAAGTCTATGCGTGCTCTGATCCTATCTTAGCGAATTTCTCTTCCATTACGTAATGTTTTGCGACAAAGAAAATAGGGATCTTTCGAGTAAAATTTATCGCGTTTCCTTCAGTGCAATTTCCTAAGATTTGATGGAACATTAAGCATATTTGTGTCCTTCCTAGTGCCTGTTAATAAAAGAAACTCATAGGGTCAAATATGAGATAGAGGAGGAAAACGAAAAATTGCAAATAGCACGAAAACTGCCTTCGTAGCCCCCATTTTTTTCGGCTTTCAAATGATCGGCAGGACAATTTTCCCAACTTGTGAAAATTTTGAGATATTTCAGTGCAGAAAATCAAAGGCAAAGCCAAATTATCGGTGGCAAGCGCCTCCCTTCGTGGAGCCTTAGCGTAATAACGAAAATAACTTTCTTAATATTTACTACAGCAAACGATAGTCCGAACCTTGCTCATCCCTTTTTGATGGCTTTAAATGACGTATTTGTAAATGAGAAGCGAAAACATGAAAAATTTTCTCGAAAAACAATACGCTGGCACGCGCGCCAATTTATAAGCAAAAACCCTACGGAGCCACCTTAAGTAGTAAAATCTAATCTTTGAAATCTTATCTTTACGAGCAACTGGATTTTGTTCCGATTTTGTTCTAGGTTGAGGACTTAGTACCTAGTATACCAGGAGTGAATGTATCGTGTGATCCTCCCGATCTCGATGTCACGCTACAGGTACCTCTGAGCAGCGAAGAAGAGACTCAATACAGCTGGAATTTGCGCATCCACTATGAGGTTAGACTTAGGAAAAGCTGGGCAAAGTGAATTAGATACTAAGTGGATGTTCCTTTTACCGTCTTTACTGAAGCCGCAGGTCAAATTGCACGGTTCGAAAGTACCAATTGTTGTCGAAATGATGAGATTGCTTCATTGCTTCATGGTCAGAAGAAAATATCAGTAATTACAGCATTCCCCATTTCCCTCCATTGAAGGGGTCATTGAGGTTTTTGTTTTGAAGTATCAATTTCTTTCTTTCTTTCCCCGTAGTCTAATGTCACTGGCCATCTACGGGACATAGTGCTCTTACCAAATTACCATAAATTCTATACGTTGTCGAGCGTGAAGTTTAGCTGCAAAGTGCCAAACGCGAATGGAACGCAGAGAACTGTGGAAATGTCGGACTCTGAGGAGATTCCTGACCAGTTCCACCACCCGGTTAAATCAAGTCTCCGACACCAGCAAGGTGTTTGTGACGTAGAAATTGCCGTGTCATTTTCTACCTCTATTTTTGGAAACTTTGTGCAATTCCTGGTCCTTGACTTTGGTAAAGAGACGCATCTTGCTGTGAAAATAACTGTCGAAGTTGGCAGCGAAGAGTTCTTGCAAGAATATAGCGAAGTGAAGTCAAAATTAAAGCCAGATTTACAGTTATGGGATGATGGATCTCGAGAAATTGTGAAGTTCGAGCCTAAACGCTCATCAGTGTTCAACAACGAGCATTTAATAGGAAAGTATGGGTTACCAAGTCATACGGATATTATTCCATGTCCCCTTCTTAATGGATCTCAAGGCTTGAGTAAGGAAAATTACAAAGACGTCTTGCATCAGTTGTTATTTGTTGAGGAATTTTACATTCGCAAACAGGTTGCAAGGTAAATTTGATTAACACTTGTTGTCCTTTTGTACTTTTGATTGAAAAATTATGCTGTAAACGCTAGATAATATAAAAGTACTAGGCGGACGCTGCATGTCTTTTTATTCCCTGATTTCTTTGTTTATCTTGTGACTGGAAGATTTAGGCAGGAGTACGTGGTACACATGTACGAAAAGTCTTAATAAAGTTCACTAGTTTGATAATACTGACACACCTACGAAAATCTTGCTATATTTTTTTTATGTTGTAGTTACAACATTCAAGGTACAAATCTGCACGCCTCAAAGTTTGTCGTAAAGAAGGATGAGTTGCTATCAGCCCAAGAAGGATGGCTATATGGTTCCTTTCATGTCACACGCCCAATAACACCTGATGATGCAGATGGAAGACTTTTGTTGAGGAATCTTTTCGCAAGCTTTGGATCAGTGCTCATATCACAAAGTCATATCCCAAATTCCATGATTTACGAAGCGTTGGTAGAGTCTGTGGAGGAAAGTCGGGTCATATTAAAGCTTCCGGCACGATTCTGCGGAGATCTGGGACTGAACGATAACAGTGAAATAACAGTGGATATTCAGTTTCAAATCAACAGGCTTCCGCTGTGCGAGATGCACGATGCCATTGACAGATTAGGACCACAGCACATACGAATATTGTTTCCGGCCTTTAGCAGGGTCGTTCAAGAGGAGAAGGTAAGCCCTCACCTATGTTGCAATATTAGTGATGCAGCGGAACTCTTCAGAAAGGTGAACAGTTAGGCTATAAGTATTAATCAGTTTCCGACATTTATGAAATGTATAATTTGTAATTTTCAGATTCTTCCTCTTCCATGGATTCTCGATCCAAAGTTAAATGAAGATCAAAAGGAAATTATTAGGAGAATTGCGGCGCCATCTTCAGACGCCCCTCCCCTCGTCGTGTTCGGTCCATTTGGTACAGGGAAAACATTTGCCTTGAATCAAGCCGTGCGGCGAATCTCCGTGAACCGTAACAATCGTGTTCTCATCTGCACTCACTCAAACAGCGCTGCAGACATACACGTAGAGCTACTAGATGAATATCTTAAAGAACAGAATGGCATATCTGCTTCCAGACCTTTACGAATTTACACACCATTGCGTAAACTCTCAACAGTGTCCACCATAGTGAAGGAGTATTGTCTGATCGCAGACAAAGGCGAACCAACAGAGGCCTTTAGACTTCCATCTCGTGATGATGTGCTATCTCATCGAGTCATAGTGACGACACTGGGAATGTCTCGAGCTCTTTTCGACATGGAGCTCCATCGGGGCTTCTTTTCGCATATATTAATTGATGAGGCAGCCCAGGCATTGGAAACCGAAACTCTCACTCCTATCACTCTCGCAGGGAACGATACCAAAGTGGTTTTCACTGGGGATCACATGCAGGTGTGAAGTTGCTTTCCGATTTGAAATGTCTTTTGAAGAGTTTTTCATCCCAATTTGCTGTACCTTTACTCAATAGTACTACAACCTTACTTTCTTCTAACTTGAAAGTACCTCTTGCTGAATGAACCTCTTACAAAATATATTCGTAAAATCTATAAAATTTTCGGAATAAAATAAACTCGAGGAAGTATCGTGCCATTGTTACTACGTCTTTGTGATCTTATCCTGATTACCTTTAATTTCTTGCAGATGAGCCCTGATGTATTTTCTCCTGAAGCAAAGAATTGGGGATTTCAAATTTCACTACAAGAACGACTATTTTACGAATACAAACAACTTCAAGCGGAGGAAACGTTTGACTCGAATTTAATCTTTTTAACAGAAAATTACAGGTCGAACGAACAGCTTTTACAATTGGCGTCCGACATGTTCTACGGTGGTAAGCTTTCTGCGGGAAGCAACCAGCCTCTGCATCCTTCCTTTGGACCATTCATGTTCTTCTGTGCTCTTGGCAAAGAAGAGATGGAGGCAAACCATTTTTCATTTCGCAATCTGGCTGAAGTAAGCGAAATAGTAAGGCGAGTCCGAGAACTTGCGGATAGCTGGCCTGAGGAATGGGGAGCAAAAGATCTCAAACAAGTTGCAGTGGTGTCTTCATATCATTACCAGGTATTAATTCAACCGAAAAAAGTTTCCTTTGTAATAGATGCCCAAGGTTATCACTTACGTAAAACATGTAGCACAACTGAAATATTAATTTCTTCTTCCAATAGGTGAAAACAATTCGAGATGCACTAAGAAAAAATGGTCTCGGACAAGTTGATGTGGAGACTATAGAAAATGTTCAAGGTAGGCGAACATTGTTTTCCGACAAAGATAGTAATTTTTGTCTTGTCACCGCGCTCGCTTTTTTGGTGACCCACCAAGAGATCTTCGTGGAATATGAGCGCTGGTGACCGGAATCCGAAGGGCTGAGGTTCAATTCCTCATCGGTACCCAAGGTGTTTTCGTTGTCTCCCGTTCATGACGAGACGATAACGCATATTTCTTCATATCTCCGTGTTGTTGCTAGTTGTTTTTATATTTCTCGTTTAACTCATAGAAAATCCACAAACGGTTCACAACCACACGGAGGAATATGGGAAGACGACGCTAAAAAATCGGGCCTTTTCCATTGTTCGATGATTATCGAAGAACCAAAAGTTTGAATTGTTTGAATTTATGTTTGAATTTTTGTCATTTTCTGCTGCGTCTCGCCAGTTTCAGTTCTTCATTGAAACTTCTTGCACGTGCATAGCAATTCTGTGACTCATCGCAGAAATAAGGAGGTAACTTATTATAAATTGGTCTTTTAAAGCATACACGTGACTCTCTTTCTTTGAAAGAAAAATGTGTAATATATAGTACTCTCGCCTATTCTGATATTGGCAGTTTAATATTTTTGCACTTTGTCTCGCCCATGACTTTTTCCATAATTTTTTTTGATAGGAAAACAATTCCGTGCACTCTTTGTCAGCACAGTTCGAACTTTTCACACTTACAAAGAGTTTCATGATTGCGAAGCTAATGGAGATGAAAGACCTTACATGTATTTCCTGTCGGATCCAAAGCTTCTTAACACAGCTCTTACACGTGCCAAATCCCTCATCGTAGTCGTTGGGGATCCATTTTCACTGAGAACCATTGGTGACTGCCAAGCTGTATGGGAGGAGTTTATAGAAAGATGCAGTGACATGGGAAAACTTTTTGGTGTCGAACACAACGATCTCGAAGAAGCCATCTCACAGAGTGGTCTTAACATTAATGCCGCGGTGTTTGTGCCAAGTGGATCTACAGACATTCGAAATTCAGCTCCATCCGGGGATGAGAAAACCAACCGTAAACCTCAGGATGTCAGAAAAACATTCTTCACAAAATCGTCCTTAGCACCATCTCAGAGTCAACTGGATGAAAACAGAGGAAACGAAATTAGTTTCTCAGTTGAGGGTAAGCGTCCAGAAACTGGCGGGAGGAAGAGCACAGTAAATGATCACCCCAACTTAGAGGATAGCGAACCTGAATGGACATCTGAATCAGACGATGCAGGAGACGAATTGACCGAAAGTGACGATCTTGGTAATGCTGATGACTTTGCTGAATATGGGAATGTGGATGAAACTGTTCCTCCAAAGGACATGGATGAGATAATTCTCGCCTTGAAAGCTAAATGTGAAGAGAAAGCACTCAAAAAGAATTCTCAAGACAAGGCAAAGAGCAAAGAAAATGATTTGAAGGTAGATGATGCTGAAAGAAATACCCAATGCTTTGTCGAACGTTTTGATTCTAATACTGCAGGAGACAGGGTTATTCACGAAGATTACAACATAAGAAACAAAGGTGGTATAACAAAGGTCTTCCTTGAGAACATGACATTCAGGTATAGTGAGCGTACAGAGCGATTAATCCGACCACCTAAAGTGAAAGAACAAGAAAGCTTTCAGCCGGAGTATGTTGATCGTTTACTGCGAGAGCAACCACATCTATACCAGCAATGCAAACTGCGCATTACAAAAGACCGAAGAAGAATTACTTATGGGGAGATTCAAGATAACGAAACTGAAGATGTTTTGATCGAGGGAAATACTCGACAAAGTTTTGATAGAGACACCGTCGTAATTGAACTGACTAACCCGCCTTTCATTGAAGAGCCTGCTCCTCACGATTATCGGGAAGGACTGAAAGGAAAAATTATTGGTACCAAGAACCATGCGATCAATTTCCGTGAACGCCAGTTTGTATGTACAATTGCCAGGGGAAATCCCAAGTTGATGTGCCCGATCAATGGATCGATGACGCCCATGGCAATCCTGACGGATGAATCCTTTAACGGAGTTCCGATTTACAAAAAAATTCCACCAGAATCTGGGGAGAGACCAGTGTGTGTAGAAAGATTACCACTCAAAGAGGCGCTGAGTGGTAAATATCTCTTTGTTGTGCAGTATTTGCAATGGAAACGCACATTTCCTCACCCACTTGGGATAGCGACTAAAAAGATTCCCCGAGGCCACAATCTTGATTATTCACTCAAAATTCTCAATTTGGAGTTTATGGTCAAAGAAAATTTTCCTGATCATGTTGTTTCTGAGACGAAACGACAAGTCTCAAAATGGACGAGAATCCCTGATTATGAAAGGAAAAGCCGCCAGCCCGTTCTGAATGCATTTACTATCGATCCTCCTGGAAGTAGAGCTTTAGATGATGCCATGACCGTAGAAACTTTGGAAAATGGTACAAAAGTGGGAATTCACATTGCTGATGTGTCTTACTTCGTAAAGCGCGGAAGTAAGGTAGATGTCGAGGCAGAGAAAAGAGGCACCTCTCACTACAAAGGGCATCCTAATGGCGAGGCATTGATGCTTCCGGAAGGATTAAGCTACGATATATGCAGTTTGCTTCCAAACAAAGAAAGGCTTGCTGTTTCCATCTACATAGATTTGGATAGAGATGGTCTTGTCCAGAGAGAAGAGCAGCTTAATTTTTGCCGCACAATCGTACGATCACAGTGCCGTCTGTCATATGCTGAGGCTCAAAGAATCATTATGGAAGAACCTATCGAAGCTAGGCCTGAAGTAACATCAGAGATCAGAGAAAGTATTAAAACCTTGAGTGATGTGGCCCAGAAGAGGAGGAAAGTGCGTCTTGCTGACGGTTCTTTTTATCATTTTGACTACGCAGACAGAAAAGAAGACCTTGAGGCTCATGAGCTGGTTGAAGAAATGATGATCCTGGCCAACGCGTCGGTTGCCAAATATCTCATTGGAAAGAAAGAGAAGCTGCTCCCATTACGAGTTCAACCTCCACCAAAGACGCGCAAATTTAACGCGTGGCGGGAAAGGTTTGGAAATTTTGCTAAGCTCTCTCTCTCACTGAGGAAACATTTGGTCCAAGATGTTGATTGTGTAGAAAATTTCCTTGTACCGATCTCTACATGGAAGTACATCAGAAAGGCCTGTTGCAAAAGGGACTATAGGAAGTTAAAGCAGTTAATCTGCAATGATAGCCTCTATCCACAACTCTCAGTGGCGCGCTCCTCTTTGAATGCTGTTGCAAGGGTGGCCGAAGATGTCAAAGCAGCTGATGTCCCTTTAAATCAGAGACGCCACTGGTCTTTGAACGTGATGGAATACACTCGTTTCACCTCTCCAATCCGGCGTTACCTCGACATTGAAGTTCATCGTTTGTTGCTTGAGGAAGAAGGGAAAGAGCTAGAGTCAGAGGATCTTTCTGAGCTAATTCGCCGATGTTCGTTTTTGTCAGAACAGTCGAGCGAGTTTCAGAAAGATTTTGGTCGAGTTCGCTTTGCTTTTGATCTTAAAATTGCACCTTACAGAACCACCGCAGTCGTTAAAGACATCGGGTGGGATTTCATTCAGCTAAAGCTTCTATCTGAAGCAGACGAATATTACTCTTCCAATGAGAACAAGGTTAGGGTTAGTGACTTGGGACCGATTGAGCAACCGATGGTGAGTGATTCGTCTTCATGCATTGAACTGAGCTGGAAGTTAAGACTTTACGATGCATCAACTGCAAATATGAAGCGGGCAAGTCGAATGACGGATCAACAAGAACATCTCCGTCAAGACAAAAAGAATATTGAGGCTTTTTTGCCAAAAGAACTAGACCTCTCAAACGCTGCCCACAACATCCCTGGATTTCTTTGGTTTAAAGTGTTGGAAGCTGTCAAAGAAGATAACTGTATGAGGTTGAGTAGCTTATTAGAGGAGGTTCACAACTGTATCGAAATTGGAGAGGATAGTGAAGAGAGGCCAATAGTGGCAGAAGGAAACGAATGTGATGGTGATGATGACGACGATGACTATTTTTTCGAAAATGATGATGACGGTGATGATCACGAAAGCGACTCTTGGAGTAACAGTGAAGACATCGATGATCCAAAAGCTTTTAGTGGCGAAGAAGATATGGTGTTACACTTTATTCACACAAAGCTGATGTTAAAAGTCTCTGACGTAGTTGAAGTACAACTCTCAGCCAACGAAATGGGACCTCTCATGTTACCTGACATTCAGGTCCTTGAATTAGCCCCTAGTGTCCAACTCTGCCTCGAGCACAGAAAGCATACCGATAAGTGTTTTGCAGAAGTTGCATCAGAGAAGGCATCGCTGGCGCGCTATCGAAGTGTAGAGAGGTATATGATCCTATGGAAACCTTTGCTGATAATGGAAGCTGCAACGGACGCTGTATCAAATGATGACAGTTTGGTTCTGCAAAACATCAAAGTAACATGGAGGATGGATGAGAGCGGCAAACTAGTTGGATCTTTTAAGCTTTACAAACCATTCGCTGAGACCAGGAAGATAGAAATTTTTTCTGGGGACTACGCATGTGTTAGGGTTCCTTATCAAGCTTCCTTATCCAGCAGCTTTTCTGAGATGCTTCCACATCTGGCAGACGAACACTATGCAGCATCCTCTGGGTATTCCGCTTTGTACAACAGCGCACACGAGGCAAAAAAAGCTGATAACACAAAAAGTTTGACCCGCGAGAGGAAATCAGTGGAACGGTATTTTGTCTGTCACTGCGTCTTCACTAAAGCAGACATTTCTCTCAAATTTACCCTCCAGCTGTTTCAATCGTCAATGAAAACTCCTGAAGGACTCATGGAAGGCGAGACTAGAATTTGCACCGTGGAAGTTATAAAACAAACTATCCCTTGCAGGT